CTCAGATCTTTTATTTTTTTTAATTTAAAATGAGAGAAAACTCCCTTCATGTTTCAGTTAGCAACAGAAATGTTGGGCTCAGTTCTCGTAAAATGGGGCAAAACTCACTTAACAATCGTCTCATTCAGCCACTGAGACGAAATGTTGGGCTCAATTGTGGTTGTAAGTCGAGAATTCTGTATAGATGCCTTGCATTCTGACTTCCATGACTGGGATGAAAGGGACTCCGTCACACAATTTACATGATTTGAGAACCTTTTAACAATTACGAATCCCCCCCTTCCCCCAAATATCAGTGGGAGGAATTTGGTGAATGCTCTGGAGCCTCTAATCTCTCAGCTTCCTGCAGAAAAGCCGGTGGGTGATTTAGGACCAAGAAATAGCTTGGAAACCTATTTCTAGACCTCTTGAAGTAATAAAAGTCGGCAGTGGAATAGGGAGCCCCATCCAACACTCCTGACTTGATACGAAGCTGCCGGCCTAGAACCCGCTAAGTTGCTCTCTAACCTCTATGCAATACGTGATTTTTAGAAACCTCCCCCAGAAATCCACCCCGAGGTGAAAGGAAGCCTCGAGGCCAAAACATCCAGTGTTTCAGGTAAGAGGGTTGACCAAACAGATAGATAATTGGAGCAACCCTTTTCTTTTCTTTTCTATTTTCTTTTCTTGGGATAAAACGGGCTTGATCCTGTCCCTCGTAGGTGCCCTGCAAAAGGACAGCCAGCTGATACGATCAGTTGGAGCTGTTTACCTGTCCCTGTCAAAGAAGGCAGCCAAGGCTATTCCAGCCAGCTGGATTTTTTTGTCTTTTTCCCAGCCTTGGGTAAATCTCCAAAGAGGTTTTTGTTGTTACTGTTGTTGTTTTTCCCCTCTGTTCTCTTTCTCAGAAATTCAGGCTCTCGTCAAAAATTTTGAGGGCAGCTTGCAGTCCCTACACCTCAAATTTCAAGAGAGTTTGCAACTGTACGATAAGGTAAGGGGTGACTCTGGCATTTTCCCAAAAAAAGGAAAGAAAGATGTGGGTTTTACTTGGATGGGGGTGTGCCAGGTTTTAAAAATGGGCTTTGTGCTACATCAGAGATGTCCAACCTTGGTCCCGTCAAGATTTGTGGGCTTCAACTCCCAGAATTCCCCAGCCAGCGGTGCTGGGAGTTGAAGTCCACCCATCTTCAATTGGATGCTGGCTAGGGAATTCTGGGAGTTGAAGTCCACAGGCCTTTTAAAGGGACCAAGGTTGGACACCTCTGGGTTATATTCTAAAAGGTACTACTTTTATCATCTCTGTCCATAAGCTGCAATAAAACAATTAAACATGGCAGCACATATTTGAAACATGCAGAGCTTTTAACCTCATGGCCGTCTTGACCACCTCCTCCTCCTCCTCCCATCCCCACCCCAGTTACTTCGTGGTTTTATTTTTTTAACGCCACCTCGGGAAAAGAGGGCAAGGAAATCCTTGCTTCACCCGGGCATAGCCAGGTGGCCGTGCCAGAAAGCGTTGCAATGTTTCAGGTGTTGTCCAGCCCCGGTGGGACCGAGGAGGAGCTCGCCCACGTCCAGCAGAGGCTTTCTAGCACCTTCCGCTGGATGAAGAGCGAGCTGGCGGCCAGAGAGAGCAAGGGCAAAGCCGACGTAGCCACCGCCACCGACCCCTCGTCCTTCTGGCCGATCTGCCTCCAGGAGGGCGAGGCCCACGCGCTCCTGAAGCACTACTCTGACTCTCTCCTGAATGTGGTTCAGAAGAAGCTGGAGGAGGCCCGGAAAACCAGCCTGCCTTGAGGGACCCCCCCCCCCCCCGTTCCTGCCCCTTCCGCACATTTGCCACGCACAGATGTCCGTTTCGGTGGGACTCCCAAAGAGCTGAGACCGTGTGACACGAGCACCGATTCACGTGTTGCCTTTTAGCACTTTGTTCGCATCCATAGGAAAATCTCAAAGGTTCGCCCAGAAACGCTGACAATGTGAATGCCTCCTTTTACGGGAAAAGAAATAATAATAATAATAATAATGTTTTTATAAGACTGAGGAAAGAGGGATAAAATTCAAAAGGGGCGTCTTGAAATTCTCCTATGGTTGCTGTTTTAAACTCGGGTTGCAGCACAGCTTTGTAACGGTTTACTCTTTTTTTAAAAAAAGGTTTTAAATGTAATAAAATATTTTTGGATTTGAAAGAGAGGTGCAGTTTGACTTTGTCATGTGTGAAGCTCTGGGAGAGAACTTCCAGAGAGGCGGCTGTGTTTTCCTGTTTCAACCGAGTTTCCTTGCCCCTTTGTGAAAATCGACAAAACGATTGTGGCATCAATTTTCAATCGGTTCATTTTTATGTTTAAAATGTTAGCCTGCTTTCCAGTAAAATGCGTCGGAAAGCAAGCCACCTGCCGAGAGCATTCCGTTTCATCTCTGGGGCAGCTGAAAGAGCTGCCTTCCAAAGGATTTCAGCTCCGTGCCTACTGGGATTTTGACAAGCGGGAGCCGAAATCCAAGCTGGATTTTCACCACCACCCCGAACAGAGAGGCTATAGTAAAATAAGGAGCATGGATGGGGTGTCGTGTCTTGGAGTTGAAGGAGTCTCAGAGAAGCCCACCACAGGCCACACATCCTGTAACTGAATCTCTGCTCAGGGCTGAAAACCCCGCTTGGATTTGGCTGAAAACTGCCCACTGAAGGATTTCAGCTCCATACCTGCTGAAGATCTTTGGACTTCTGACTAGGGAATTCTGGGAGTTGAAGTCCGCACATTTCCAACTAGCAAGGTTTGAGAAACGCTGCATTAGAGCTAAGGATGAGGCAGGATTGCATTCCTGTAGCCACTTGGTTCAAGGAAGGTGTGGGGAGGGGGCTTCACAGGAAGCAGGGGTACAGGTAGTCCTCAATTTATGACTAAAATGGAGCCCAAAATTGCAGTTGTTAAATGAGACATTTGTTAAGTGAGCTTTGCTCCATTTTACAAACTTTTTAGCCACAGTTGGTAAGTGAAACCATTGCAGTGGTTAAGTTAGTAACACAACTTGTCAGAAGGTCACAAAAGTGGATCACATAACCTGGGGACACCTCCATAAATATGAATCTTCTGAATTTTGATTGTGTGACCACGGGAATGCTGCAACGGTCATGACTGTGAAAAATGGCCACTTGTTCAGGGCCGTTATAATTTGAACGTTCACTTAACGAACTGTGGGAAGTCAGAGGCGACCTGTACTTCACCTATTTTCGTTTGGGCTTGCAGGTGAATGTTTCCCAAAGCTCTGTCCAGGCTGCAGGTGAGCCGTTCCCCAGGGTGGTTTGTTAATCAAAAAAAGAAAAGGACGCGCCCATTAAAATCACACTGCTCCGAAACCTGACCACGGAAACAGGTTTATTCAAATCGGAGCACTCAGCGGGACATGGAAATCTGGTGCTGTTTGGAAAGAGAGACCTGTTTGCTTTCGAGTGCAAAGAAGCAGGAAGAAAAATCTTGGGGACACGAGGCTCCCCAACTCAACAACCCCCAGTTCCACTGGATTGATGATCTGGTTCAGGGATCCCAGTTTGATTTGCAAACAAAATTTGGCTTCACTTTCCCCCAATGTTTGGTCTAAGCTGACTTTCCTTCCCAGCCCCGTAGAAGAGAGAGAGAGAGAGTGGCTAGGCTCAGCTAGATGACCCTTGAGGAAGAGGGTCCCTTGTGCATCCTTGGCTTGGGAACTCCAGGAATTGAAATCCGCACGTCTTAAAATTGCCAAGATTGACAAGCGTGGGTAATGCAAAGGTTGGGTTGCTGTTGCACAATGATATTTCTGTGCTTGTCACTTTTTTTTGCTAATTTATCAAATGTTCTGCTTGAACATTTCCAGGCTATCCTACCTTGCAAGACTGTTGTGCTGCTGGTGGCAGAAGGCTTAGCTGGTCTTCTCATGTTCTGATTTTTGTCACAGCTTTTGACGGGTGGCAGTCAGAGGGATGGATAACTGACCTTCTCGCTACTCTCCAGAGTTAAATAGCAAGATTTGCATAGATTGAATGCACCCAGTATGCAAAAGAGATGCGATGAGATGTCCTCTCTCCATCCTACCCCATCCCAATTTAGATGCAAATTGTCAGGATATCAAGAGTTGCTCTTTTAAATCGCCCACCCACAGAAATCACTCCTGCTCATCGGAATTGTGTTGAGAGTTTGGACTTTTCTGGATGAGAGACAATTAGCACGGTCACTTCTGGAGTCTTTCCTATTCTTTTTGGGAGGAATTGGGGTCCTTGACTTGGAAAGAAAAAAGCAACAGTTTGCATTTAACATTTTTATTAGGGTTTCTTGGCAACACTGGCTCTTCAAATTGTTTGAAATTATAGGTCGGACTTTTATTGGGGAGTAAGTTCAGATTGTAGATTTGCTGAACCTAGGGGTTGGACTGGAAGACCTCTACGGTCCCTTCCAACTCTGATGTTCTTTTACAAGAAGAAATTAGTTGGTATGGAAGGAGACCTCCAGGTTTAGGCACGGGGGTGAGCACCGTAAAAGGTAGTTTCTTCTTCCTGGACATGAAGTGTCTACCTTAAGGAACCTTCCGTTGTTGGTCTTCACCGTCTTGCTCAACGCGTTGGTCCATCTGAACATCCATCCTGGGAGAAACCCAAACCCGGCATCCAACCAGCTATGCCAAAGTCCTTTCTGATAAAACGTCGTAAATCGGCACAGCCAGGAACACGGAACTGGGGGGACATCCCCGACCGGCTCCGGGGAGACTTGTACGTACCAGGTAGGTGAACTTCTAGAATAGTGTTTTTCTGAGCAGTGGCCATTGCGGTCATGTTGGCTGAGGATGATGGGAATGAGGGACTCCGCCTTCTGGAAGGCGGCCGGTTGGGGAAGAACTGCCAGCGGAGAGAGCAAGAGCACAAGGGAGTTTTCCTAGCATATTCATGGAGATGCCTTCTAGCAGGGGTCTCCAACCTTGGCCACTTTTAAGACTGGTGGACTTCAACTCCCAGAATTCCTCCTCCAGTCATGTTAGCTCAGGAATTCTGGGAGTTGGAAGCCCACAAAGTCTTAAAGTTGAATTCTGGGAGTTGAAGTCCACAAGTCTTAAAAGTGGCCAAGGTTGGAGACCCCTGCTCTACAGGTTCGTCCTCCACTTAACAACCACAATTTGAGCCCAAAACGTCCACTGCCAATTCTGCTAAGTGGGTTTTGCCCCATTTTACGACCTTTCTGACCACAGTTTTTAAGTAAATCACTGCAGCTCTTAAGGGAATCTGGCTTCCCCATGGACTTGGCTTGTAAAGAAGGTCACAGGAGAGGAAATCACGTGACCCCGGGATGCTGCCACCGTCATAAATACGAGTCAGTTGCCAAGCCCCCTGGATTTTCACCATGAGACCATGGGGACGCTGCCATCGTTACGTGTGTGAAAAACTGGTCGTCAGTCACTTTTGTCAGCGTCGTTGTAGCTTGCGGACCGTTAGTTCAGGGCTGCCTGTATTTGCAAAAGCCACTAAACAACTCATAAAATATTTCTCTGTTTTTTTAGAGGTGCCAACAGAAAGGGAGGGGAGAGCAGTGCAGCAGCTTGCAAAAACCAAAATCGCATTCCACAAATGTTTTCAAAGATAGTAACTAGGTGACCGAAGTTTCTGCCGCAACTGGAGAGCCTGATTAATGACTCTGGGCTATGGAGGTGTCCCATTGGAGAATATGAATTACGATACACCCGGGGGGTGGGGGAAAACCAGGATCAAGGGTGACAGTGAATGATGTGTCTCAGAGTCGGCTGCACCCAGGCAGTGCTGGCATGTTTACTCCTAATAAATCATATTGAAGCTTTGAAAATCCGGCTAGAGACTCATGATTAAAATGGGGGTAACTACTGGAGCCCTGACAGTGTCCTTGTTGGCTCCCTCGATGTCTTAGAGGGCGGAGCGGCCCCAGCCCTCGTGCACCCAAACCTCAGCAGCAGGAGCGAGTGGGATGGAGGAGACGCCCCCCATCACTTTCTCCAAAACCTGGTTTATCCGCAACCACCGGCCGTGGGAAAGGATCCCCCGGCCAACAAGGTAAGGCCACCCCAGCATGAAAAGACCCCGGGAAAACTGGATTCGGGAGCTTTGCAAATTCCATAAGTCAAGGGGGAGATTCTTCACAGGCTGCCTGCGTGGCCTCAGCCTTTGTCATTTTGGGGGGAGGGGGCAGCCCTGCAAGAGAATTTGGTATACGGTGAGATTTTGGGGGGAGGGGGGGCTGTTTTGACTTCGACTTTTTTTCCCTCCAAATTAATTTGGGTAATTATATTATCTTTTGATCCTGGTTTGTTGCCCAGAGTTCTTTTGGTAGATGGAGGGGTGGGAATGTATATATTTGGAAAGGGAGGGAAGGAGGGAGGAAGGGAGGAAGGGAAAGGGAGGAAAGGGAGGGAAGGAGGGAGGAAGGGAAACGGAGGAAAGGGAGTAAGGGAGGGAGGTGAAAAAGGGAAAAGGAAAAGGGAAGAAAGGGAGGGAAGGAGGAAGGATGGATGGAAGGAAGGAAGGTGAAAAGAAAGGGAGGGAGGAAGGGGAAAGAGGAGAAAAGGAAGAAAAGGAGGGAGGTGAAAAGGGAAAAAAGAAAAGGGAGGGAGGGAGGGAATTGGCCAATGGTGCGGGAAGCCGAGTGCTTCAGCCCATCGATAACTGGAGGGCCACAGATTCTCACAAACAAATCCTGATTGCCCAAATCTGTATATTTTTTTTTACCAACCTGGTTTGCATACTGTCAATTTGTCCCTCAGGGACCTTAGGAGCCTTCCTGGGTCTGTATCATGCGCCACCCCCCTCCTCCCTCCCTCCCTCTTTTCAGGGCAGGGGTCTCCCCGCCCAGGGGGGCTTCCAGTGCTCCGTCTGCAGCAAACGCTTCCCGCTGCAGCGCATGCTGAACCGCCATCGCAAGAGCCACAGTCCCGTCAAGAGGCACCTGTGCCGCTACTGCAGCAAAGGCTTCAACGACACCTTCGACCTCAAGAGGCACCTGAGGACGCACACAGGTGAGGGCTGGCAGGCCAGCTGGGAAGGGAAACACATTTACATCTGCCACGGCCAAGACCTCCACTTACAACTGTTCATTTAGTGACCGTTCCAGGGGGCAGGTCCACTAAGAAAAAAAAAAAGTGGTTTATAACTGGTGCTCGCATGACCACAATTGGGGGGCAGAATTTGCACCCCTAAGCAAGGCAGTGGTTTATCCAGTTGGGCCTGACTTCACAACTGTGATTTTTTTGTTGTTGCTGTGGTTGTTAAGCGAATCACGGCAATTAAGTGGCCATTAAGCGAATCCAGCTTCCCCCATTCACTTTCCTTCTTGGAAGGTCGCAATGGTCAGAAATACCCACCGGTTGTCGAACGCCCCAATTTGGATTGGTGCCACTTTGGGGGAAGGCTGTAAACGGTCGTAAATGCAAGTCCTGAGCCCCTTTTTCACAGGGCCAACTTTGAACGGTCGCTAAATGTACCTTTGCAAACTCCCGCCTGTCGCTGCCCGCAGGCATCCGTCCGTACCGCTGCTGCCTCTGCCAGAAGGGCTTCACCCAGCGCTGCTCCCTGGAGTCTCACCTGAAGAAAATCCACCGCATCCCCCAGACCTACGGCTACCGGGAACGCCGGGAAAAGCTCTTTGTGTGCGAGCAGTGCGGCTTCACTTGCGGCACCAGTGACGAGTACTATGGGCATGCGGGCCAGGGCCACTCCGCCGGGCCCTACCTGGGGGGCGGCTTCCCTGAGCCCTGAGCAGCAGCTTTTCAGGCTCAATTGCACCTTCTGCTCAGATAAGAGGCCGAAGCCAGGCAGGTGTGTCTTTTGGTTTTGTTGTTTTTTTTAAAAACTAGACGCCGAGGCTGTAGCCTTTTCTGTGAAAAATAAATCATTTATTAGAGCAAAGGACAATTCAGACAGGCTGAACGGATAAATAGTGGAGAATCGCAGCGGGGAAGTCATGGGTGGTAGGAAGAGGACGCCTCGGAGGGTTTCACTCTGTCCAACGGTGACCGCAGTGGGGGGCTGTGCAGACATAGTAGAGGCGCATGGCATCCTGGGAAAGAAAGGGGGGGGGGAGGCAGCCATGTGATGACCCAAAGCGTGAAACAAAAATAACACAGTCACAAAAGTAGAATAAATTCCCTTTAATGCCTCCAACTCGGCCTCCAATGTCCAGTTATCCTCAGCAGGAGATCAAACTCTTCCAAAAACAGTTTACAAAGGGAAAAAAATGCAGTCCAAACTCAAAGTACAGATAAATTAGAAATAAAAAAACCCAACACAAACGACACTGAAGTCATTAACACGGCAGGCCAGGATAATAAATTGCAGACTTTCAAAGGATAACGCAGCACCCACAGTTGGGAGGACGCCAAAACCCAGATAAGCCTCGGCCAAGATAATGCACACTTTGCTTCCAGCAAGGTGCTGTGTGCAAACGCCCTTCTTATATCCTGTTCTCCCAGCTGCAACTAATGAAGGGGATCAGGGCCCTTTTCTCTCCTGTAAGCCAGGTTGCTCCCTTCTCCGTTCCTCCCTGCATGCCCTAGAATGAAGAGGGGATGGCCCTGGGTCTTCCTCTGAATACCCAGCCATACTGTGCCCTTCCCCCATGTCTTCCACAGCCACCGGGGCAACACTCCCACTCCCTGTCAGCTGCTAAATTTCCCCCTCAGAATCAGACTCCAACAAGGGCATGACAGAAGCAAAGGATCTCCAGCGGGCTCCTAAATCAGCTCTTTCTGATCCGGTCTTCTCTAGACTAGTTGGGGTACCATCCTCTTGCCCACAAGGGTCACAGAGAGGGGGTGGTTGAGGCTGAGACCGCCTGGAAGGGCCTCCAATAGCAAAACCTGAAAATTCTGCATTTCCAAATCCTGCAAAGTTTGGGCTAGAGATTAAGATACCAGGTGACAGGGAGTTCTAGTCTCAGCACAAAAGCTGCCTGGGTTACTTTGGGCCAATCCCCAGGACATGGTGAGTTCTAGTCCCGCCTTAGGCATGAAAGCTGGCTGGGTGACTCTGGGCCATTCCCCCTCTCTCAGCCCAACCTACCTCACAGGACTGTTGTTATGAGGAAAATAAAAATAGGAAGGAGAAGGATTGTGGAATGTGTGTGCCGCCTTAAGCGATTTGTAAGGATAAAGGCGGGATGCATACAAATAAGCAAACATCTCTGTCCAGAGCCCAGGTTGAACACTTTTCACTCCTATTATATCAACTGAAAACTCAGTCAGACTTGGCTCCAAAGGCATCCAGGTTTGCGATGACAACCCATCTTGGGGCAGCAAAGGCCCATCATGGCATTTCAGAGCGATGTCATCCTAAGGCGAAACCCTCAACCACCCTCCTCAAGTCAAAAGGGCACCTCCTTACCTCAGCCCTGGCGCTGTGAGATTGGAAAAAGACAGCTTCTTTGTGGCCACACCTGGAAGGCAAAACCAGGCGTCAAGCAAGGTAGGGAAACAAATGCAGAACGTGGCTGGTGGAATTCTCTCCGGTCTCCATTTGATCAACTGGACCTGGGTGTGCGCACAGACACATACACACGATGCCTGGGCAGGCTGCAAGCTCACTCTGCAGTGGGTCACCCGGATAGGAAGGTTGGATTGGGGCAGTCAGCAGTATTCTAACTTTCACAGTTTAGTTTGCTTTTATTGTCACTGCACCTCGTGCAACGAAATTAAATACCATCTTCACTGTACATTAGGACTATGAAAATAAACACAAACACACCTCCTTTCCCATTCTACACATTGAATGGACTTTACTGTCCATCCCCAACTATTTCTGCTGGCCTCCCCTCTCCAGGGCCTGGCCAATTTCCAAATCTTTTTTTCCCTCACCCTCCAAATTTGGCCCCTTTCTCTGCTGCTTGCAAAGCTCTCTTTTTTTGAGGCTCGGAAAGAGAGGCGGACAGAATCCCAGCCCCTCAGCCTGGTTCAGGATAAAAATCAGGATAAAATCTCAAAGAAAGCCCCCAAATTCTGCTCGCTTTCAAGCTTTAGAATAGTGTTTCTCGACCTCAGCAACTTTAAGAAGTGCAGACTTCAATTCCCAGAATTCCCCAGCCAGCCAGGTACAGTTTTAGAAGAAAGCTACTGATTTCTACCACATGCCTCCATCTGTTGTGGTTAGCCGGCAGCAGGTGTGGACGGCTGAGGAGAGCGAGGACTCAGATGAGGGGCCAGGACCATTAGGGAGTGGACTGCTGCCTTCAGAGATTATGGGGGCTGGCAGCAGCGACGAGTAGGTTGCCAAGGAGCCTGTGCCAAGTGCGCGTGCGTGCAGGGCTGCTCGCAGGAAAGAGCAGCTGCAGCAGCACGGGCAACTCGGGAGTAAGGCTGCAAGGTAATGGCCCTTCCTTCAAGAAGATAAAAGCCAGCTGTGAAACGAACCTTCTTTGCAGGAAGCAAAGATGTTTTGAAACTCAGCCTCATGGACATTCCAGTATCTTAAGTTGGTATTTGAAGACTCTTGTGTTGTGAAATATTTCTTATCTGTGATTCTTGGCTGTCTTGCACAGTTTTGGCGAGGTTTGTGCTTATCAAAGTTAATTAGTTTGCTGCAGCCTTTTAACCGGGGATTCGTTAGACTCATTAAAAGGTTTCTGTTCCCTTTGGTTATTATTTTATTGGAAAAGGGTTTGGGTCAGAACACCATCAGAAGACTTTTTTTAAGCTAAAGCAACTAATACTCACTTCTGACAGGGGTGATCCTCCGTCCGGGGCAGAGTGGGATCCTGGGAGACATCCGCGATGATCTGTGTTAATTCACTGAAAGCAAAATACTAGATTTATTTATTTAACCTGGGTGGCCTGGTTTACAACAAATAAAAACAATCCAATCATAGGAAATACCAGACAGTCCTCGGCTTATGGTCACAATTAAGTCCAAAATCTCTACTGCTAAGCAGGCAGTTGTTAAGTGAATTTTGCCCCATTTGACTTGTCTTGCCATCGTTGTTAAGCGAATCCCTGTAGTTGTCAAGTTAGGAACACGGTCGTTAACTGAATCTGGCTTCCCTGTTAACTTTGCTTGTTGGAAGGCTGCAAAAGGGGAACACGTGACACACCCCCCCCCCCGGGACACTGTGACTGTCGTAAATGCGAGCCAGTTGCCAAGGGTCTGAATTTGGATCATGTGACCACAGAGAGGCTGCAACGGTCATACTCGTACGTGTGAAAAATGGTCATTAGTCACTTTTCTCGGTGCTGTTGCACCTTTAAATAGTCACTAAAGGGATGGTTGTAAGTTGAAGACAACCTATATACCATAAAAGAAAAAAGAAAAAAGGAGGTTGGACTAGAAGACCTCCAAGGTGCCTTCCAACTGTGTTATTCTAAGAAAAACAACAGCAGCCAGACACGATCTAATCGGTCTTATGTTATAACCTAGAAATGGGCTCTCGCCAACACCGAGGTCCCAGGCTCAACCACCAAGCCAACTTTTCAAGGCCTTACGGAAGACCAACCAGGGCGGGGTCAATCTAATCTGGGGAAACGATGCCCCAAAGGGCGGGTGCCACCACAGGTGAGGCTCTCCTTGCCAGCCCACATCCCTAGATGAAGGTACCCACAGTGATCAGATAGCAGGGGTACAAACAACTGAGCAGAAACAATGCTGGGCTTAAACCACAAAAAAGATTTTGAGGCTAACGCCCAGTGCCTTGGATTGCACCTGGAAGCTGGGGAGCACCCGGTTTCACAATTTGCAAGAGCAGAGCCAGTGGGGGTGACCCTGCCGCCCCCCCCCCTCAGTCTGAGGGGCACGGAGGGGGGTTCCTCCCCAAACTTCTCCCCCCAGCGAGCAATTTTTTCTTCTTCTGGGGTCCTCCAGGTGTCAGGGCTCCAACAACTCTACCCCCATTCAAATCATAAGTCTCTAGCCGCATCCCTCACAGTAAAAAAAATATGATTTATTAGGAGTGGCCATGTCGGCGTTAGCTGGGTGCAGCCAACACTAAAATACATCATCCATTTCCTCCTTGACCCTGGTCTTCCCCCCCATCCCCTGGATGTATATTCTCCAATGGGACACATCCATAGCCAAGAGTCATCAACCATGCTCTCCTGTAATAATCTTGTGCGCCAACAGCTTGGGGCTGCCAAGGCGATTATCGGAGGCATTTGAGGAATGCACTATTTCCCCCAATTCCCTTTCTGCTGGCAGCTAAAAAGACCAAAGGAGAATCTTTTGAGTTGACATTAGGACTTACTCCACTTCGTGGGTGATCTTGTTGACGTAGATGCAGCTGTTGTCAGCTTCCTGCTGGTAGTCGCAGTTCCGGCACTGGCGGAGAGAGAGAGGGGAGGAGGAAGAGAAGGGTTAAAAAAGGAAGGTGTAAGGCCCGGATGTCCCGTCACCACCACCCAGGTGCCTTGGCCAGGTGGCCATGCAAGCTCCCATGGCTGATGGCGCTTGGGAGGCCTCGGAGTCCAAACGCTTCCATGGCTTCAATGGGGAAATGGATAGGTCAAACTCCCACGCCCCCCCGCCCCCGTAGCAGGGGGGTAGAATGGCTGGGGAACTCTGGGAGTTGTAGTCCATCCATCTTCAACTTCATTGAGGCTGGGGGCTTCTGGGACTCTTAAAGGGGACAAGTTTGAGAAGCAGGTCCAGGCAAAGTGTCTCAAAGTGGGGCAAGAGAGGCTGAGACACACACACACACACACCCAATTTTCAGGCCCATCCCAGATTTTCAGGGAAGCCGGGGTCTCGCTGGGCCCTTCCAATGGCTTCTAACCCATCAAGCCTCTTGGGTTGGTGACGGCCTCTCAACCTCGCCCCCTCCCTTTAATAATAAGGGTCAGGACTTCAACTCCCAGAATCCCCCAAGCGAGCCAGCCAGGTGCCCACGGAGAGGAACATGCTGGGAGATGGAAGTCCGCGCCTGTTGGGCGGGCCAGGCCTCCCCCACTTACCGCGTAGAGCAGGATCCGGTTCTCCTTGTCCTCCTTCGGGTACAGCATGTTGTTGCTGGGGGAGAAGGAGCAAGAAACGGCGGTGAGGCCTTTCGAAAAACAGGCCCGGAGAGCGCGCGAAGGGGAGGGGAGGATGGGAAATACGGTTCAAGGCCTCGCGGACTACCGCTCCCATGCTCTAATGAGTCCGGGCTCTCCCTGACCCTCCGCACCCCTCACCATTCCTGGCAGAAGCGGATTCCCACAAAGCCCGGCTCGTAGGCCCCTTCCGACTCCATGGCAACCGCGCCGAGCGGTCTCCGGCGCCACTGCGCACGCGTCTGAGATGACTACGCAGGCGCATTGTCGACTCTCGGGGGGGGTTCTGGCGACGCTTCGTCTACGGCAGGCCGCGCGGGTCGCGATTCTCCCGAAGCCGAACGTCTCCGAAGGAAGCGGGATCTGGGGAAGGTGACGTCACCAGGGCAGTTATGTTATCAGCACGTTGACGTCATCTCGACGTCCCGTCCGCTTTGACGTCATTTCCGGAGTGCCCAAGGTGGAGGTCTTCAGTGGCAGTGGAAGGACCCATCTCCCTTGAGAGACCCATAATGCTGGGCAAGATGGAAAGAGATGAGAAGGAGGCTGTAGAAGCTGAAAACCCACCTCTCTTGAGACACCCGTGATGCTGGGCAAGGTGGAAGGAGAAGAGGAGGAAGATGGAAGGGTTGAAGGACCCATCTGTCTTTGGAGGCCCATAATGCTGGGCAAGGTGGAAAGAGATGAGAAGGAGGCTGTAGGAGCTGAAGAATCCATCTTCCTTGAGAGACCCATAATGCTGAGCAAGATGGAAGGAGAAGAGGAGGAGGAGGAAGGACTCAGAGCTGGCTGGGGAATTCTGGGAGTTGAAGTCCCCCACCTCTTCAAGTGGCCAAGCTTGAGAAACGCAGACCTTCTGAAGAAGATGGGGTCCAAGATGTTCCTTCAGGAAGAAGGTTGGGGAGGCAGGGCCACATCACCCCCTTCCCAAGGCAGGTGACTGGATGAAGATGCCACCTGGGAAAGACCTCCCCCCACCCCAAGAGACATCAACAAAGAGGGCTATATAGAATATTATTGGCCAGGTGTGGTTGGACACACAAGAATTTGTCCCTAGTGCATGAGCTCTCAGTGCACATCTAAACAGCAAGTCATAGGTTGCATAGCGAGGTAGAGCTGGCCTGAGAGCCATAGCAGAACTGAGAGGCTGCCTTTTAAGAGAGGTTGGGATGGGAAAGGTGGGAGAGATTTTTATATTTCTTCCTCTCCTCGGCGGAGTTTGGCACTTGATGTTCCAGCAAACCAAACCATTTTAGACTTTCTAATCAAGGGGATGGAACAGCAAAGCCAGCAATTAGGTTGCGGACTGTGAAAACAGGAAGGATATGAAATATTATGACGATATGGTAAATATTATAGTGGAACAAAATATATAAAGGAATATATATAAATGTACATATAGTTAAAATTTATGTAAAAAGTATATGTACTGATACCGAAGTGTTGCAATGAATGGAGACCGTGTTGTAAAATAAGGAAAGCTGTTTAATAAAAATGTATTTAAAAACAAAACAAAACAGGAAGGAGCTGAAACTTTCAATCAGGGCTTCCCAAATGACCCCAAATTGAGTAGAGATGGGATTGACACACAAATCCTTCACCCCATCACAACAAAGACATTTAAATTACCTTAAATGGTTTTACAGATAATCCTCGACTTATAACCCATTTGTTTAGTGACTACTCAGTTACAGTGGCACTGAACAAAGAGACTTACGACCGATCTTCGCACTTAATGATGGTTGCAGCATCCTTACAGTCACAGGATCAAAATGTGGACTGCAGAAAAAACAATGGCTACCAACCTACCTTCAATCGAGGACCTGTATACTGCATGAGTCAAAAAGAGGCCTGTGAAAATATTTACAGACCCCTCACATCCCGGACATAAACTGTTTCAACTCCTACCCTCAAAACGATGCTATAGAGCCCTGCACACCAGAACAACTAGACACAAGGGGAGTTTTTTCCCCAACGCCATCACTCTGCTAAACAAATAATTCCCTCAACACTTCAACTATTTACAAAGTCTGCACTACTATTACTGTTAATCTTCTCATCACTCCTTATCACCCATCCTCTCCCACTTGTGATTGTAGGACTATAACTTTGTCACTTGCATCCTTACGATTTATATGGACTGTTTCCTAGTATGATTTGACTGCTGATTGTACCCTATGACTATCATTAAGTGTTGTACAATATGATTCTCAACTCCTGACGAATGTATCTTTTCTTTTATACTGAGAGCACTTGCACCAAGACAAATTCCTTGTGTGTCCAATCACACTTGGCCAATAAAGAATTCTATTGTTTGGCCAAAGGGTGTTTGTGTGTCTCTGTCTATGTCCTAGCTCAGGTTATGAGCTCTGTATGGACCCCATGACTTACAGTACCCCCTGCAGTGACTTATAGTCCCAGCAGCCATTAAGCATGAATTAACTTGTCAGGATCACTGTAGAGGTAATCCTCGAGTTGTGGCCATTCATTTAGTGACTGTGAAGTCACAATGGCTGTGACACAACCATTGCGGCATCCCCATGGGCATGAGGTCAAAATTGTCACAAAGAAAGGGGCAAAATTCACCTCACTACTGTCTTGCTTAGCGACAAAGAAAAATATGGGGCTTGATTGCGGTCGCAAGTCAAGGACTACCTGTACCATCCCAGACAAATGAGTCGTTGAATCTTTTCTTGAAAGCCTCTGGGGATGGAGCGCCCACAATTCCGGGAAACAATCTGCACATCTCTTTTTACAGCGGAGTCAACCAGCCAAATGCCAGCAAGAGAACATTTAGCTTCTCCTCTCAACCATCTTCCATGCACCGCTAGGAATTTGGACCTGGTGGCAGGAGACAAGTTAAGCAGGTATTTTGGCCAAGGAGGTGGAGCACCCCATCCATTTCCCCAATCAGGAGGGTTTATAGAGCCTTTGGGGAAGGTTCCGGATCAACAGGAGAGCACCTTCAACCTGGGACAATGTCTTGGCTGAGAGGGATCTTCCACGGGGAGCGCCAGAAGCCGAAATGACTTTTGAGTGGCCCTACACAGATCTACCCCACATTATCCTGGGCGAGTTTGCAGGGCGCGGATTCGGCTGATGTGGTCGGTTGAGATCTTGAGGAGAGCAAGAGTCCAGAACTGAGAACAGGACAGGAGAAACAGAAGCAAGGACAGATCTCATGGACAAAAAGGAAAAGACACCAGAGTATGGGTGTCCATACCAAAATAACCTTCGTGAAGTTTGTGGGATTCTTTGGTGTGGGGTCCTTGGTGGTCTCTGAGCTTTCTTGCAGACATTTTATGACCAAACTTGGTAACATCCTCAGTGCTAGGATAGAAGGGAGGAGGAGGAGGAGAGTGTAAGGGTCCTTAGAGCTCTCTGGAATTGGTGGTTTTCTTGTAGATGTTTCATGATCCAACCAGGTAACATCATCAGTGCTAGAAGGGAGTGAGGTTGGCTCTCTGTCCCTTCTAGCACTGATGATGCTACTAAGTTGAGTCATCAAACGTCTGCAAGACGAACACCAACCTCAGAGAATACCCAGAATCCTAGATGTGTTCATTGAGAAGCAAGTTCTCTTGTATCAGTGGAGTTCCTCCTACGTGACCCTACTAGAGACTCTAGGGGCCCCTATCCATAGCCCTACTGACTAATGTCTTCCCACAACCACAGCTAAGTATCCTGAGGTAAAGAAGCTGATGGGACCCGACCCCAACCTGAAATGGCTGGTGAATCTCCTGGTTCTCATACAGCTTAGTGGCCTGCTATTTGGTGAAGGACTTGCCGTGGAAATGGCTGGAGAATTCTGGGAGTTGGAGTCCACAAGTCTTAAAGTTGCCAAGGTTGGGGACCCCTGCACTAAGGAGTTTGCTTTCCATGTATGTGTTTTATTTATTTATTTCTCAAAGGCACATTTCATAGTATCATCAACTCTTAAAGCTGGAAGGGACTAAGGCTGGGGGATTCTGGGAGTTGAAGTCCACAAGTCAAAAGTCGCCAAGGTTATGCAACCTTTTTATTTCCCCGTGCATAACTTTGCTTTTCACAGTGATGGGTGTGATTGATGCGCCTCTGTCCAATGGGGGAACTAAACTGGGGTGCATACTTTGCAAAGGGTCAGGGCCCTGAAGTGAACCCCCTGGCTTCCTTGCCTAGGCTAGAACCCCCGACAGGCGTTGCACTGCAAGTCCCATGCTCCCCAGTCATTCTGCATAGAGAAGACAATCCGCGCCAGCGTCAAAACCGGGATTTTTCTTTTTCCAGGACCAAATTTGGAGCCCTTCTTTCGGTGCAAGGATGCCCCGGGACCCCCGCCCTCCTTGCACGAGCACCACAAAAGCACCACGCAGTTGCAAACGCAGCTTTCTGTCCTCAGCCTCCAGGGAAATCCTGCCCTTTTCTCCGTCAGCCGCCCGGCTTCGGCCTCGCTCGCCTCTCTCCACCGCGCCTCCTCATTGGCCGTTTCCTCTCCCGCGAGTTGCCTCGCGGCTTCCTATTGGCGGGCTTCCCCGCCCGGGCTTCAAGGACGGCCGAGGGCAGAAACTCCGCAGGAGAAAAGAAAAGGCCGAGACGCGCAGGACCGCGGGCGGAGGCGGGGCGGGCGCGGCGAGCGGGGCGGGGATTGGCCAGCGGGGCGAGCGGCGGGGCGCTGATTGGCTGACCGGAGGGAGCGACCCGTGAAGGGGCCTGAGGTGTGGCGGTACCGGGAGAAGCGACGGAGGCGGCGGCCGGGATGAGCGTGACCGGGACCCCCGCGGTGGTGTCGGTCTCCATCAGCAGCAGCCTCAACTCCTTCCGCGCCCTGAAGAGATATGCCCGGGGCCTCACCATCGCCGAGTTCAAGGTAGGCCGGAGGGCGGCCACCCACGCCCATCATCCCCAGCCCGATGGAAGAGGGAGTCCGTGGCGCCGGGGGCTCTGAGGCGGGGGTGCTGGAGGACTACCACAACCATCCGCCCCAGCGGCTATCGGCACGGGCCCCCTGCTGGCGCGTGTCACCCCCTTCTCCCCCCCCCCATGGGGCTCTGCCGGCGTGGCTTAGGGGTGTGGGAGTCCAGGTGCCCTAAATGCCCCATGGAGGTTCTGGCGGGGGGGGGAGTGTTATTAGGGGCGGAGGGCTGCAGTCTGCGCCCCTCCCCCTCCCTCTCTTCCTGCCAAGCCCACCTGGCAGGGCTGTTGTGTTGGGGGGGGGGGTTTCAGGCTGCTGAATCAGCATCAAAAACGGTCCTATAATTGTGAATATTCTGCAAGGCAAAAAAGCAAAAGGGGGATGGCAGCCCAGAGGGGAACCTCGGCCTTCGCTCCTAAAACACATACAGGGCTTCATTCACCAGTAGATTTATCCTCAGTTAGAACATTATTATATAATTATATTTATTTTATATATATAATTATACATCATTGTGTGAATACACACACACACACACACACATACACATATATATTTTCTGAGGTTTTCGCGGGTATTTGTATGTGGATCTTTGGTTATTCGGGTTTTCTCCCGCGTAAAATTGGAAGTATCTAGGCCAGTCATCCCCAACCTTTTTTATGCCACGGCCCGGTACCGGCATCAGCTGGG